AAACTCCAGTTTAGTATGGATTAAAGTATGTAATAGAATTTACAAAAATCTTACTTTCATATGTTTCTTTTTACATATTCACGTGTTTCCGTCCCTCCGACCTTTGAGAGCATGTCCAACACTTTAACTACCTGAAAAGAAAATTATATTCTAACTTATGTATATATTCTACGTTTGAAATAGAACAGTTACGCGAGCCCTAAATATTTCATAGTTTTAAATTAAAGATTTAATGCCGAAATGTCTGGAACCAAAACGTCTTGTGTTATTTGGGACCGGAACGTTTTGGGTTATTTGGGACAGAAACGTCTCTTTGGTAGTACTGAAAGGCATATTATAAACTCTTCAAAAGCAGAGTTAAAACATGTCAATTTTAAAAAGATTTATTATTAGACATTATCGCGAATTTGTGTGACATTTTACTTCAGCTGTTCAAATAATGATAATTAAATTTAAGAGTGCTTGCAATCATGCAATTATTTATCAAATACAAAGTAGAAATAAATCTAAATAAATTGAACTGACCTTTTTGTTCAAGAAAATCTATAATATTCACTTATCAATGCATCCCAATTCCTGACCGACAGCCAAAACGTAACGCCTACGAATTTGAATTTCCATCCACGTGACTTTAGATTCGAATTAAAGGTTAATTATGTTTTCTTTCCCTTTTCTGTCACTATGATTAAATGTTAAAGCACTATTAAAAACTCGTAATTTTGATACATATAATGTACCACAAATGATAATATTACAACGTTAAATGATTGGAACTTGTAAACAGATCTGTGGCTATAAATAGATTTCATAACAATAACACATGTAACTTGCGTATATACAGCGCCACCTATATGTTTTATTAGGTTGCAGCGCCGCGATCTTGGTCTGTATTTATATAAGAACACTTCATTTGTAATCCAAATAACATTTGAAAAAAAGTTTAAATGATTACAACAGCGAATAAGGATTATTATTTTTTTTTTTACCTACCGTCAGGACACCGACCATAACCTGACGTTAGTACGACGTCAAAAAGAAACGTCTATTAGACTTCGGTATTTTAACGTCAGATTTACGTCATATTTTGGTCGCCGACGTCGTGACCAAAATCTAACATTAATCCGACGTTATTTTAACGTCATGTGTTTGCTGGGGTGTAATATCAATTTGTAAAATCTGTCGATTTGCAGTCCAAGTATGATCGAAATGTCTTGGGTACGAAAGACTCGAGATCTCCAAATTACTTCGAAATTATTTACGAAAGTTTTAGTCCTCGGAAACAAATTGGCATCAATAAATAAACTTAATATTATTATTCATCAAATTCATAACATATTTTGCTTTATAACTTACCTTATGAGCTTAACAGGCTGATAATTATGCTCGTGAAGTAGGTCAAAAAATATACCGGAAGTTGTCGGATTCATTTAACCTAATTATCGGCTAATTCAGAGACGAATAGATTATCTACATCTCTGGCTAATTCTATTCCAATATCCACTTTGCAATTATAAACTACAAAATTTATCCGATAAATAATGTCTTTTTCAAAAATTTCTGGAATATAATACAAAAAAATGTGATGATAAGGCGGATGAGTAAGTTAAATATTGCAAGCCGCCAAGCACTATGACCCAATTAATTTACTATCCCATTCATAGAATTATGTGACCTTTCAAATTGTATCCGCTACGTTTCTAATACCGTATTCAAGCTCAATTGCACATTATTTTCAAAAAATAAATTTCTTGTCTCCTCTTCTGTTCGCAATAAATCGAAGTTTTCAGAAATTCAGAGCACTATTTTTCACTTGCGGCGGTTATGCGTCGGTCATGGTCGGGTGATTACTATGAATTCAGCTTACGTTGATATGTTAGAATACAATATAGCATATAGAGTGGCGATGAAACGTCACAGCAGTGGGCGTTACCCTGTATGGTTGGAAATTTCGGGTTTGTAAGTGCACTAGTTGGGACTACGTCCCAACTAAAAACTATAGTTTTTTTTTTCAAGACGACATTTTTGGAGAATATTAAGGCAATTCTCCTAAAGACTGTTGCATTAACATTCTGTAAGTGGTTATAATGGATTGCTTGTAATATAGACACATTTTGACTTTTTGATAATGTTTAAATAGCATTGTCGGTTAATTATGTTTAACTATGTTTGATACTTAAATTGTTTATATATACTGATAATTTACAAACAGTGTAAATACTTGAAATCTGTTATGTTTACAGCATAAATGTGCTTCTTGCATGCAAAAAAGTGTGTCTTTGTATAGAGTATAAAATGACATTATACTATTTATTAAACAACGACATTGTCAAGTTACTCGTAGTTTGTTATAGATAGTTTCCTGCAATATTTACCTCCCTTGCCCAAAGTGGCTCAATATTCTTTATAATATATTTGACAAAATGCCCCTGTGGCATATGCTCCAGTATGCGTGCGATTCCTTCTATAGATATATAAAATCTACGCATTTTCCTAAAAAAAAAAAATAATGCTCCGAAGCCCACCGTCACCAACTGATTTGTTCGAATTCAATCTTGGTGAAATAGCTTATATATGTTCCTTAACTGGAATGTGAGAAACATTGTGCTGGAGCAGAAAAATACGTCCACAAATTACACATGTGACATGGATTCATTCCTTTGATAAGAATGTTATCCAAAAATACATTGTATTTGAAACTCCCTGTCATCTACTAGTTTGTCCGATTTCAAAGCAAATTTGCTGCATCAATAGAATGGACGCTCATCATTAAGGGCATTCGAAAAAAGGCCGCAAATTGCCGGATGGGCATAGGTACCAATCCGCACGGCAAGTCCTGGAAATTAAACACTCGATACGGCTTTTCTTTCATTAAGTCAATTATCCCTTCAAATATTTTTCTAAACGATTCAACCTATCATTTTGTCAGAGTTCAATACAAATTTGCTTTTGCCATAGCTCAATGATACGACAATATAAAACACACTGTGCTGGCACAAGAGTCAATGTTTCAAAATGCCCGCGTGCCATATGCTCCAATTCACGGGGCTATTCCATCTGTAAATATAAGAAATCTACGTATAGTTTATATCTATATATTGAGTCCCAATTGCACAGTAATACAAGTTCGTGTTGACGTAAAGTTTCAGCTTGACATAGGCTCTAGCAGTTGTACCTACTAATATAACATACTATGTTTTTCGTCAAAATACACATTTTCCGTAGCCCCACCATCATTATCACATTGGTCTGATTTTTCATTGCAAAATGACTCTTTTACTATAGCTCCGAGGCCTTCCTTCGGGCCCAGTAAATAGAAAATAGTCATGGCTTCAGATACAAGGTCGGGATTGGCATGCACGTGATTCGCTTTAGAACATGTTTCTTTGACTAGCACAATGAGCCTTGCATTTTTTTATAGTTAAATCTCTAGCTAGGTAGCGCAGCAGCAGCTCCTGATTGATTGATAGCGCCTGACGCGACGCCGCTTGTGTATCATGCATTTTTTCTTGTGAAAATGATCGTATTGCGAGTCTTTGACTTCCTTGTTGATGGATGTGTTGCAGTGATAGCAATAGTCTTTGATCAAGTTTTCATTTTCTTTTGTTGTATAAATATTGTTTTTGCAATTTTAAAAGTTTTCGACGAACATATACAGTATGTGTAAATACCTAAATCAGTCTTTTCATTTTGCTGTCAACCTTCCCATCTTTTTTTCATGTCTTCCAGTTTTTCATCTATCATATCTCTGATATATTCTGTATTCTTCCCCTTTGTCTATGATATTGTTCGCTAGTTCTTGAACATTTTTCAACGCAGATTTATACTTTTCTATGTTCGCTCTTCGTAACTGAATGTAAAGAAATTCGGCTCTCATGGAGCATTGCCAAATACTTCATAGAAAAGAAGACACATTTGAAGAAACAGTTTGTAAAGTATTCTAAACAAGTAGAATCGAGTCAATTAATGATCCAATCCAATGAATGTATTGTTATCTGTACTTTGGTTTTGGACAATTTTGTCTCAATGTATAAACGTGCCCATTTACTTTTTGATATATCTATAATTATAGTCTATTGTTGCGCGTTTTATAACCAAATCGCGCTAATTCTATATATACGTATACTCGAATACACTTATTCAAAAACAAACATAACCACAATTATCTTATGATTACATTTATCTTTTGTGTTTAGTTTACCTCATTACGTTGATAATCTAATTATCAATATCATAATTTCCTTTCAATTCGTTACTCCTCTCGTTTTTTACCTTTGTTAAAAAGGTCATTACAAGACCAGTTCATTCAATAGTTGGGAGAAAATTTATATAATACATGTAAACTTGATTACTATCGAAACTTTTTGTAATAAATTAGGCTTGGATAAAAAACCAAATGGTGAATTAAGAAAACGTTTTCCCGTTTAAGACTTTGCTCACATAACTTAGAGATTAAACTGGGTGGATACAATTGAATAAATAGAGAAAACAGATTAAATTAAATCCGTGGTCGTAATAAATAGATGCTGCACTCTACAATATTTTATGACAAAAACAGAAGGATGAAAGATTGTGCCTTTTTGTAAATGAGTCTTTTGTCTTTGTTTTTTTTAATCATTCATATGACATAACATCAGGTCCATGTAGTCTCGTACATCTTTACTGATCCATAGATGATATGAACTCAACAGGTACTGATTAAGCCACGTAACGAAACATAAAGCGTTAAAAAACAGCACAACTCAGCAACTTTTACTTTTCACCCTTCCGCTATTTACACGACACTTAAATTCTTATAATTAACAAATTTCAATAAACTTGTACAATCAAAACCACTAAAATCAGTACATTTCTGCAAATTTTGATTATATATGTACAAAGAATTTTCAAGTAACCAAATGCAAAATTTATTTCCATCTGGGTACACTTCGAACTATTCGGTGTATTTCATAATTGTTATATAGGCTATATAAGATGAACGTAATTTATCTCAAACTCCCTGGCAAAGTTATACTGGGATATTAATAAGTAAAAGAAACAAAACACGGATAAGGTTTCATTATAATAGTATACATGTATATATATTTGGTTATGCATGAATGACAATCAAATTAAATAGATGAAAATGTGAATATATATTATTTTGCAACATTCATCCTTTACAAAAATGCCCTGCATTTTAAAATTTTCTATTCTCATTGATGTAAAGTTATTTCACTCAAGACAGGATAGTCAGTTTCATAAATTAGTTTTCTTTACGTTTGTAATCTCTTGGTAGAATCCGTTCGTAATGTCACTTTCCTCACTTTACGTTGCTATATTTTGCTATAAGGTGTTTAATAAAACTCCACTGAAATGACAACGCTCACCTTGTTCATCCTTTAAAGAATTTGTTATTGATGCCGTCACTTTAACATACACATAGTCATACTTTGCAAGACGCGCGATGGCCGTTGCGCTATTGCAGAACCTTTCTTCGTAATCATGAAGAAGCGTTTGTGTCAGTTCCCTAGACCCAGCAATTATTGAGTAATGCAGATAACTCTTACCGTGTTCCAAGCAAAGTTGAACGTTAAAAAGATATGTTCCAGCTAATGGAGCTCTAAACTTGCCGCTTCCGGTGTCGTATGCTTGTGCTGTGTCATGCATTTTTCTTGTAAATATGATCGTATCGCCCTCCTGTGGATTCCTTGTTGGTGGATGTGTAGCAGTGAAAGAAATAGCTGTCTTTAATACACCTGGATTTAATTTAGAAATACATTCAAATGAACCTAGAGTCACTAACCCGTCATAATTGTATATATTGGATAAATTACAGTAGGCTAATAAAAACTGTTAAGAGGACTTGTTACCAAAACCGACTGTTCCGTGAATACAATTCGCAATGGATGTTCATGCATTTCAAATATAATAACAAAGAAATCAAAATCTAAGGGAAAAAGGCCAAAGCTTTCTCTAATTACTGATAAACAAATCTTTAGTGTAGAACGCAATGGTAATCTTGTCATTTGACCAACTGACCAAACAATCCACAGAAGCCATACATTTGGCACGACCTAGTTTCATACCAAATCCTTAGATTATTCTAGTTTGGGTTAAACAAACTTTTAGAACTTGAGGCTACAGTAACATCAACTTTGACCAACATACCTCAAAATCATTATGTGCCATCAGATAGACATGGATATTCTCTGTACCAAATCTTAGTACTATAGGCCCAAATCATTCACTATTTATTAGTTTAAGAACTCCTTGATGACTTTCATGCCTAGTGTCTAATTATAGCCCTTGGGGTTTAAGAATTTACTTTTAAGTATGATTAATTATTTTCCAGATATCATATTTTTAAAATAATAATCACTTTAATTTGTCATGTTTTCATTTTTGTTGTTGTAGAGTATTGTTAACATGAGGTGTTTGGTATACAATACCTATTTCAGTCTTTATATTTTGGAATCGGACTTCCCATCTCTTCTCCATGTCTGTCAGTTTTTCATCTATCCAAACTCTGATATGATCTGTATGGTTTTGTTTCGATTTCTTACCTTGATCTGAATGTTAAATGTGAATTAAATAAATTGCGTTTAAAAGAGCACGTAATGTATCTGATAGTACTAATCTATTTCTCCTTTGCAAATATAATATAAATATCAGACAACCTTGTTATCATTTGTTTCCGTTTTATATATAATGTACCTTTTTCATTAGTTCTCAAATAGAAATTGAAAAGAAATTGAAAACTACTTTTGCTACGTTTTCATGTTCGTTGTTATCAAGAAAATAGTATGTTTAACATTATCTGCTAAATCTACAATACCTATTTCAGTATTTATATTTTGCAGTCGACCTTCCCATTTGTTCTCCATGTCTTCCAGTTTACCATCTACCTTTTGACTAATATAATCTGTATGATTTTGTTGAGATTCTTTAGCTTGATCTAAAAATGCAAAAATGTAAAATAAACAGCTTGCGGTTGAAAGAGCCCGTAATGTATCTAATAGTACTTATTTTTCTCTTGCATATCAAAAAAAAAAATCAAAATCAAAACAATCTTATTATCTCTTTTACCGTTTCATATATTATGTAACAATTTTTTTAGTTCTCAATAGAAATTGAAAATTACTTTTGCTACATTTACATTTTATCAAAAAATAGTTTTGTTAACATTATCTGCTATATCTAAAATACCTATTTCAGTCTTTATATTTTGCAGTCGCCCTTCCCATCTCTTCTCCATGTCTGTCAGTTTTTCATCTATCCTAACTCTGATATGATCTGTATGGTTTTGTTGCGATTTTTTACCTTGATCTAAATGTAAAATGTGAATTAAATAAATTGCGATTAAAAGAGCCCGTAATGTATATGAGATCACTTATTTATCTTTTTCAAATATGATTTAAATATTGGGAAAAAATCATAATTATAACAACCTTATTAATATTGTTCCGTTTCTTATATTATGTAACTGTTTCGTAAGTTCAAAATGGAAATTGAAAATTGCTTTTGAGACGTTTTCATTTTTTGTTGTTATCAAGAAAACATATTTTTAACATTAACTGCTAAAACGACAATACCTATTTTATTCTTTAGATTTTGCAGTCGACCTTTCCATCTGTTTTCCATGTCTTCCAGTATTTCATCTATCTTTTCTCTAATTAAATCTGTATGGTTATTGTGAAACTCTTTAACTTGATCTGAAGACCAAATGTAAAATAAATAGCTTGCGTTTGAACGAGCTCGAAATGTGTCTGAACGTGCATTATGTAATACTCGTTACCTGCTTTGCTAATATCATTTAAATATATCAAAGAAAATCACACTTATAACAACATTAAAATATTTTTCCATTCCATAAATTATCTCGGTATTGCTGTAGTTCTAAAGAAATGAAATTACTTTTGCACATTTTTATTTTTGCTTTTGTAAAAAAAATGAAATTAAGTTGTTGATATACCATACCTATTTCAGTCTTCACCTGTTGCAGACGACCTTCCCATCTCTTTTCCAAGTCTTTCAGTTTTTCATCTATCCTATCTTTGATATAATCGGTATGGTTTTGTTCATCTTTGAGTAAAATATTATTCGCTAGTTTTTGAACATCTTCCAAAGCAGGTTTATACTTTTCCATTTCAAATTCCAAACGTACGTCACTCTTTCATGTTTGTTCTTCGTAATGGAATTTAGAGCAAATCGGCTCACTTAGAGTATGGCCTAATCCTATTTGGATAGCAAGAACCATGTAAAGAAACATTTTTGAAAATAGATTTCCAAACAAGAATAATCCAATTATGTATGTGTCGTAAACTGTATTTTGATTTTGAAACAACTTCGTTATATATTTATCATCAATGTTACGTATCCGTTTACTTATTTTACAGTTTCAAATTCCTCCTTCTGTTACCCGAGAGCGGCAATTCCATATCTAACTAAACACGTTATCCAAGAAAATGATTGAGAGCAAACAATTGTTTTGTCTCTTGCTTATTTCATTCTTGTCTCTATCTAACTTTCCTTATTATATTAATTATAAATCTAATTACCACTATCAATGGGAGTCTGTATATGTTCTGTAACAATCTACCATTTAATTATTATTATCATTATGTCGTTTTTCTTAATTGACATCGGCATTTAGTGTGTGTGTTTTTTTTTGTTTTTTTTTTGGGGGGGGGGTGCTTTTATTAATTAATTTATTTATTTATTTATTTATTTATTTATTTATTTATTTATTTATTTATTTATTTATTTATCTATCTACTTTATTTATTTATTTTATTATTTATTTATTATTTTTTGGTCTTTGCTTTTGATGTTTTTGTTAATGTTTACATAACTTTTGAAGGATTACAATGATTACTGTACCTATTTTGAGCTTTTTTTGCATTAATTTTGCACTAAACTATCAACGTTCCTTGATAGTGATTTAATGGTTATATAAATGTGTATGTTCTGTTAATTAACAAACTCTTGACTCGTAATTAACATATTAACTGCAAATATACCCTTTCAAATTATGTAATCAACTGAACAAATTATGTTAAGATCTAAAAACAATTGCATGGGCAAAAACCAGGTTAGTACAAAGATATGACAATATATTTATTATTTTTATACTCAGTTGCAAAAGAAAGTGTGTACATGCACTTTGTTACTTAGAAATCCTTTGTACACACAAATGCAAAAAAGAAGCAAATTTCTGTCAAAATTTGCAGAAATGTTATGACCATACAATGGTTTAATTTGTAATTAAATTTGATAATTATAAGAAGTTAAGTTACGAATAGCGGAGTGCTTAAAATTTAAAATTGCAAAGTCGTGATATTTTAATTATTTTTTACTCGATACGTGACCATTAATCTTCATCTCTATGAATCAACGAATGTGTTTGAGAGTGCATGGCCATATCTTATGCAACGCATTTGAATGATGTTCTATTGAAAAATTCAAGTAACTATCCGAAGGAAAAACGCATTTATAAAAAGGCACAATTCTGCAACTTTTATTTTTCACACTTCAGCTGATTTCACGTAACCAAAGTTCTGATAAAAATCAAATTTCCAATGTAAACCATCGTGAAGTCAATATATTTTGCAAATTTTGATACCCATTATGCCAATAAGTATACAAAATCTCACTGTTACCAAATGCACACTTTCTTATGCAACACAGTATATATTTAAGTGGGATCAAGTATAAGCAAACAAAAACAATGTAGTTTTTATTTTATAATATAAGTTTTATATATTAGGCACTTATCTAACGTAGCAATATTTATTTCTGGCAATTAGGATACCGAAATCCAGCTTATGGCAGCCTAAAATCATCGAATTATCGAAAAGACATTGAATTAAACCACACCATCAGATAGTCATTTACAACTGGTTGAATGTAGTTATATTTTCTTGCTCAGCTGAATAAACAGTATCATTGGCAGTATTATATGAGACAAAGAAAGAAAAAAAAATACAAAAATACAGGCTACTAGCTATCTTAAGTGATAAATGGCGGTTGAGCATTGTATATATTAAAGACTGGCCAAACATTCTATAAAACGTCTCCAAGACTTTTGGACAAGTCTTTAAATTAATTAATATAAACAAAATTGTGTTAGGATAACTACTTGTATGAGATTTCCTTTATCTTGGGGACACTCCGAAGTGTTAACAATTGTTTATGATAGCACTGTTTTCTGGACGTTTTGATGACAACATTTTCAAATAAATAAACACTGCAACAATAAAACTTTTTATTTCATAAAAACATAACGCTCATAATGTTAATTTTTAGTTGACGTTCTTTGGGGTTCCTGCAAATTTTCTACAACAGCCATCATTTTACCATGCACTTTGGTGTGTTTATAAATGTTAATTAACGTACGTCGCGTGCCATAATGTCAACGTACGTTGCGTGCTATGTCAACGTACGTCGCGTGCTATAATGTCAACGTACGTCGCGTGCTATAATGTCAACGAACGTCGCGTGCTATGATGTCAATGTACGTTGTGCGCTAAAATGTCAACGTACGTTGCGTGCTATATTGTCAACGTACGTCACATGCAATAATGTCAACGTACTTCTCGTGCTATATCAACGTACGTCGCATGCTATAACGTCAACGTACATCACGTGCAATAATGTCAACTAACTTTGAGTGCTATAACATCAACGTACGCAGCGTGCTATGAGATGCACCAATGTGGGGTTTCCATAGTAATTTAAGGCGTACTTTACGCCGTTTACGGTACAGGCTAACATTTTCTAAATAATATTTAACGATTCAATAGAGGAAGCATTGTAATTCACAATTAATAGCTAACATAATGAAGACAACATGATTGTTTTACGATTCCGGGTATTTCTTGATTATGCCTCTTACACGTACATTTTCTTATACAACTTCTAAAGGGTTTGCAATTTTGAATATTACAATTGGTGCATTTTAAGCTCTTGTTAATAATTTTTTGTAACTAATCAATGTAGTGATTGATACATATTTAGCGAAACATGTACTCGGCGTTACAAACGTGCAGTAGTGTTTCAATAATAATATTACTAACAATCATAACGAAATTCCGCACTGAGTGTACGCAAATTTTATTTTAACGTAGTTTGTATTTTATTAAGATACGGAAATCTGAATAAAAAATCCTTATCTGACTTATTTAAAGCATCAATCCGTAAAATAACCCACCGTATAATATATATCGTACAATATCAAAATGTGTATTACTGTATATGAAAAAAATGCAGACTACTGAAAACGACATTTTGAACATTTAGAAATGCTGGCACTACATAAGCCTTTGGTATTTCAGAAGTGTTTATCATACGAGATGACCCTATCCGTAACGAGAAGGATGGCGTCTGAAAATATGAAAATGGGTGTTTTACTAGGAGCAAAAGACAAAATAGATAAAAAAAACAATAAAAAAAAACAACAACATATCATAGTCTCAAGACCGAACCACGGGCCGCACGGCGATTTCTTCTGTAAGTATTTTCGTACAGATATACAATTTTCTGGATACACCGTCACCGACCTATCTGTTCGATTTCAGTGCAATAGTGCAATAGCAACAAATGCATAGAGATATGTTCCGTTTTACGACTGTGGGCAGACATAAATCGGAAATATGGCGTTGTGTTTTGGCCCCATCTTGTACAGAAAGAGTAGCTTATGTTTCTGACGTCTTGTTTCTAAGATTATAAAGACCCTTTGGTTGCAATTGTAAAAATACGGTGAACTTTTTCAAGTTTAGTTGCAATTGTAAAAATACGGTTAACTTTTTCAAGTTTAGTTGCAATTGTAAAAATACGGTGAACTTTTTCAAGTTTAGTTGCAATTGTAAAAAATGGTGAACTTTTTCAAGTTTAGTTGCAACTGTAAAAATACGGTGACGTTTTTCAAGTTTAGTTGCAATTGTAAAAATACGGTAAACATTTTCAAGTGAAGATTTTTTTGCTCGAAGGAACAGTTGTCTAGAATGACCTTATTCAAATAATTTCGATGGATAAACGAAATTGAATACTTTTTAGTGACTGACCCTTGTGAGTGAACTTTACTTTACGCATTATATTTAGTACCGATAAGCGTGTATCAGTACATATAAATACATATAAAAATGAGTATTTGCTTTCAAATATCTTGCCAAAATGTGACCATTTTCAGTAATGACAAGATACCTCCTCCAGAATTTCAGCATTGTTCATAAACAGACGGGATTAATCTATGAGATATGATTTAAGATTCTTTTTCCTTACGGTTGAATTTAACCTTACCTATTTGTCCGATTTAAATTGAGTTTTACTGGTGCAATAGCTTTTAGGCTCCCCTGTACGTCAAAATAAATTATTGTATGCCAGCCAAAGAAACAAGATCTCAAAATGCTCGCGTGGCATATGTCCCAGTCCGCCCGGTGAATCCGTCTGTAACTAAAATCTATTTACTTTCCTTTAATGCACCATTTTTGTGGGCCCTCCGACAACTACTAATTTGTCGGATTCAAATGATGGATAACCAGAACGCAATATAAGGCATATTTAGCGACGATTCATTGTTTTGTATATATAGTTTCGTAAAATAACTTATTTTCGTAAATATTCATCATTTGCCGGAGAAGCCTGCCGCCACTAACCTATCAGTATGACTTCGTTGCGGATTGCCTCATGAAATAGCTTGGAGAACCCCTTTCCGCCGATTTCAATCACATGGCGCTAGTCAAAATATATGTTAGACCGCAAGAGGCTCCTGCTGAAACAACTATTAGTTGTTAGAAAAATCACGGAATATTTCATTAGAATTTAAAATCTTTTTACTTTAAATGAAAAAAGGGGGATAATTATGTTAAGAATGCTACTAAATACATATATCGCTGGCAATGTAACAATGCAGTAATATTACCTAAAGATTTGTTTGTTACTGAGAGCTTTCAGTGCTTTGATACTTATCTCGAAAATTTGGCATAACTCTTACAAGACTAATTATGTAGGCAAACGGCTGTTGCTTCCCCTGATCCGTGCAGAGATTAGTGTCAGTGATTAGTAATCCGGGGCCACCGAGATATGACCAGAATGTTTTGAAATCGGAAAAAAAACAGACTCGCAAATTCAGTAAAACCTCCAATTCGC